GGCAGAAGAATGGCGTGAACCCGGGAGGCGGAGCTTGCAGTGAGCCGAGATTGCGCCACTGCACTCCAGCCTGGGCGACAGAGCGAGACTCCGTCTCAAAAAAAAAAAAAAGATCTTACTCCATTTTGTTGTGATGTTTTATGATACGGACAAAACTGATACCAAATTGTTCCAAGAAAGGGAAATGCAAAGGTCCCAAGGTGGAGAATGCTTGGGAAGAAAGCCAATGTTACCACAGTGGAAAGAGACAGACAGAAGTGGAGAAAGAGTGAGAGAGCAAGTACAGGGAGATGAGGCTGAAGAGATAGTGCAGAATCCAAATCATAACCAAGTCCTGTAAGCCAGGGTGAGGAGTGTGCATTTCATTTTGAGTGAGATGAGAAACCACTGGGTGGTTGTAAGTGGGGGAGTGAAGTGGTGTGATTTGCATTGTAAAGCAATTGCATGGTTAGGGTTGGCACACACAGGCAGGGTGGAAGTAGAGGCCTCTTCGGGCTACTGGTTCTCAGGTAGTTCAAGGGCAGAAATGGGGTCTAAAGCAGGCATGAGGTGGGGACTGTGCGGTGACACAAATAAGCCCTCCCAGATCAGTTATTTCTATGCTGATGTTTAAATGGAAAAGCCTGAAGAGGACTCTCCCTTCGGCTTTAAGGCCCAGGGTACTGGGCGGGGCAGGGCCTGGACTTGGGGGCCTTCAACTGCTTCTCCCTGACTAGAATGAGGAAGGTCTCAGCATCTCTCTCTCTCTCTCTCTCTCTCTCTCTCTCTCTCTCTCTCTCTCTCTCTCTCTGTGTGTGTGTGTGTGTGTGTGTGTGTGTGTTTATAGCCTGGGAGTTTAGTTATCTATTTCCCCCCAGGCTTGGCTCTTAGCCTCTTCTCTTCAACTCCCTCTAAGGATCTTCTCTTGGGACAAGTATTCAGCAGATACTGAAGGATTATGACTCTAGGTAACTTTCTGACTATTTTCCCTCCTTTTCATGCAGGGTGTGTGAGAGAGGGGTTCCCAGTACAGTTTTTTTGGCTTTCTTGTGTTCAAATGATATCATCAGCCTAATTGCTCCACAATTCTGATTAGATATCAAACTTATCATACGGTTTCTTGAATTTCCCATTGGTCACAAATAGTATTCATATCCTTTCTTAGAGTTATTAATTAAATCTAAGTTTTGGATGCCTTAGCTCCCACACTTGAATCTTATCCTCCCTCCCCGAAACTCGACCTTAAGCCTATTTAGGAATCCCAGTTCTCATTAAAGAGTAACTTGTGAATTTTGAGATGCTTTGAAGAGTGCACAGGAATTTGTCATACTGTACTTATTTGTTCTATTTTTGAGTCCATGTGAAATCTCAGCTTCCTCCCTCGCCCCCAGTTTACTTTATAAATGCTCCTGCTAATCTAGCCCCCTTCTGATCTCCCTCATTACTTTGGGCTAGTCTGAAGCAACAGAAGGACTTGCTAAATTTATATATTCTTCCTGAGGCCTGGGGCTTTGTGGGAACAATTGTAAAAATTTACCAAGTCTGGAGAAGAAGGCTTTTGCAAATCTTGAGTGTGCAGGGAGAAGCGAATGTGTCTGGGGTTTCTGAGAAGATGTTTGTTTGTTCATAAATCATTTATTGAACATCAGCTCTGTACTAGGCATTGAATTTTGAGCTTGCATTAGTCACATAAGTCATAGTTTTTAAAGAGACCAAAGCCTGATAGATGAAGATAGACTTTTCAACAATGATTGTCTCAGAGTATTTATAGGTAATGTGATTCATTTATATACCAGGCCCAATGAGGAGACAAGGAAACATTTGATAGAGGTTGGAGAAGCTTAGAGGGGTGACCTTTTAGTTTTGAAGAGATGATCCAGGTGTAGGATGAGTTAAAAGGGTATGGCATGAGTCATAACTGTGAGATAAGACACAGGCCTGTCATGAGATCTCTAAGTACCTCTGAAAGCTTAAAAGGGTAAAGATGGTGCTTATTAGGATATATCATTGGAGAGTCAGCCAAGGAGAGCCAAGTATGATATGTGAGGGCTTTGAATTTATCCTATGGACAAAAGAGAACCTTGAAAGGTTTTAAGCAAGGTTGGTTATATGACCAGATTTTCCTTTCAGAAAACCATTTCTTCTGCAAAAGTTTGCACTGAGATGAATTCAAGTACTATTGCAATAACTCACATAAGACAAAGGCCTCCAATAAAGGTGGGGTGGGTAGTGGGTCCGGCCAGGAGTAGGAGAAGATTGTGTGGGGGTGGTGAGGAGGTGGATGGGATGGAAGGTGTAAATAGAGGTTTCCAAGTCTGGAGAAGAAGGCCTTCTTTTTCCTTAAGAAGGTAGAATTGACAGGACATGGTGAGAGACTCAAAGTGGGTGAGGAGAAAAAGGAAAAAGCATAATTTGGGGGGAAACATGTGTTTAGGCTTAGAATTTAGAACTTTAGGTGCCTGTGGAACTTCCAGCTGGAGACGTCCATTGGACAGCCAAATATTTGAGACCATTACTCAAGAAGGCAGTTGACACAGACATCTTAGCCTCAAAGTTCCTTGAATCCTTCATTTTAAGGAGCTTCGTCAGTCTTCACTTTAGCAAACCATATCTACAGTCAAATGTAGATCTTGACGTCACCTTCACATGCTCTAAATTTGAAGAATTAAGGTCTGGTAATGGCAATTTGACCACTGGTTCCTTCTATGTTCAAGCTGTATTGCTTTATATCCATATCTTTTACTTAATGACTCAATGACATGAAGTCACTCAATGAGTCATTAAGTCAAAGTCATTGAGACTTCATGTCTTGCCACATCTTCTTTTCTCCTAGTCCATCAGAGCTGGTATTGTTATTCCTTTCTGTAACCAGTCTGGACTGAAAGGAGCAGTCCTGCCCTTTAATATTTAGTACACACAACTTGCTCATTCTTCTACTTTCTGACATACTTATGCTGCAAACTCTTTATGTTGGATCTGGGAAGCTGAATGCTAAAGCGAAGCACATAATTGTGCAGACAGGGGCCACCACTAATATGTAGATTACAGTGGTTCTCTCAGCACTTCTGTATAATGTATTTATGTGGTTCTGTCCAGGTTCCTTTACTGAAAACTGTGGGACATTTCAAACCTTCACTGCTTTCTTCCTGTCTCCATTCACGCTGATATCCTGCTTCCAAACTCAACTGACATATTATCTTATTCTCTGCTTCAAACAATTGAAAGGACTATGTCTGATTCCTTCAACCATCCAGTGTCTTCAAACTTATCCAGGGGTTCACTTAAATGCCTTTTCCTCTGGTCACAAAGGACAAAATAATTAAAATATATTGATATTCTAAGATCATTCTGTGTCCTTCACCTGCTCATTTCTGTTTTACTTATTCCTTCTTTCTCCTCTTCATTAATCTCTCTGTATTGGTTTTTTTCTTAGAGGCCTTGGAGTTTAGTATAAATTATGGAATGATATCCTTCAGGACAAAAGAGGGAAGAATGGTGGTTATATAGAATGAAGCACAAGGAATAACCCTTCTCATTTCAGCACACCGAGTACTGACTTAGAACTGCCATTGGGTTCAACTCTCTAGGTTGTGCCCTTGAGATGGTTAACATAGGAAACTGAATTAAGAAAGTTAGAATGTCTGTTTTGAGACCAGGACTCAAGGTGATACCAACATAGACTTGAGTTTTGTATTTTATTTAAACATCTGCCTGTGTTGTGTAAACTTTCCTGTACTTTTGAAACCTAATGATGTGATATCCCAGATGTTTAAAATCAGTTATTTTTCATTTGTTGCATGCTTGCTATGTTTCAAATTCTGGGCTCAAATTATGGAAATATCTCTAAATTCCCTATAAATGTTGTGAGATGCAGTGGTGTGGAGCCACCTCACCCAGGCTTGCAAGAGCTAATTTTGCACATCCCTTCCCAAACTCTGTGTTCAGTGAATCAGCTATAGCAGGACGATTTACACTGTGGGGTCAACACTCACTGCAAATTGAGGCTTTTTATTTCTTTATTTCAAGGACCTGGTTTACCAGCATGCTACTTAAGATAGGTCATATGTCCCCATTTTACAGCTGAAATTTAGGTTCAGAGAAATAACTCCCTAAATTAGGTTAACTGTGAAAGCTACATGGGTTTTTGGGAGGCAAGACAAAATATTCTGTAAGAGAATAAGACATTGTCTTGTCTCTTCTTATTCTCTTCTTAATCTTTTCTTTTTCTACTGAAGTTGTAGAGTGCAATTGGATTTAGACTTTCTCCATAGAAGTTTAAATATCCTTGTAAACTGTATATCCTCCATCTGTTTTTGTTTGTTTGTTTTTGTTTTTGTTTTTTTGTGAGACAGAATCTCACTCTGTCGCCCAGGCTGGAGTGCAGTGGCACAATCTCGGCTCAGTGCAACCTCCGCCTCTGGGTTCAAAGGATTCTCCTGCCTCAGATTCCCTAGTAGCTGGGATTATGGGCATGCACGACCACACCCGGCTAATTTTTGTATTTTTAGTAGTATTTTCAAGGTCCCTAGTAAGTTATAATGTGAACATTTTGATGTTCTTATATTTCTTTTACTTTCCTCATTTAACAAATGGATCATAAGGCAGTCTTTGAGATCTAGAGGTTGGTGTCTGTTAGGATGTTATTTTTTGTTAAGCTTGGTTTTCTGATAAATATATTTGCAAAATGTTCCCAGCACTCAATTTATTAATGCTTGTTCTATTGCTAACCAGTTCTATAACCCTAAACAAGTTTTCTCAATTGTTCAGGATGGGGATATGACCAGTGACCCCTAAGGTCATGGCCATTCATGACACTATTAAAATTCTTATGCTTCTGATAAGTAGAGTATACCCCAGGGTGCCCCTAAATTACTTTATTTATGACTTAAATCCACATTAGTATTTACTGTGGAGTTTTAGTCCTAAATAAAGTAATTTCAGTTTAATTATATTAAAGATGTAGTTTTAGAGGTAGTTTCATTATTTTGTTGTGCAATAAGGTTTTTATTTTATTTGAAAAGTTTCAGGATCTGAAGCTGAGGGAATTCTACTGTGAGGGAAACCCACTGTTCCTGAAGCAGCCAGTGATTTCTACACAACGGGAGAACATCTGGAGTCTACAGGTAAAGGCTTACCTCATTCACTTAAGTCTTCAAACTAAAGCCACAATTTAAATTTTAAAGCGTTTTCTTTTAAAACATTCTTGCCAAGCCAGCAAATGATTAATGTAATCCTAGTCCATTGGCAATGTGGATCCTATACATAATCTTTTTGACTTGCTTATAGAATCCAATGAAATCCTAAGTCACTCTGATTCCCAGAGTGACGTAATTCAGAGAAATGGAAATATTTTGTAGGATGAATAAAAGAGAGAAATTTATTTTCACTTTAGCTTTTTCAGTGTTATTTAAAGATGTATTGATTTGTTCTTAGTGGAGTCTTTACCTCTTTCCCTCCCTTTTTACTTGTCTCTATCCCTAGTGGATGAATGAATATGATCCAGAAACTATGTTCACTTCAGCAAAACAAGTTAATGGTATTAAAAGAAGGAACAGGAAAGCATATTAGAGGACTCTTTGAATAGCCAAGTCAGAGAACATAGATCCTTCCACGTTTGACTGTGATTCTCCATCATGAATTTAGATTTCTGAGATCCATTTGGATCTGTAGCTAATGTGCAGGATTGTCATTAAGACTTTTAGGATTTGTATGGGATCAACTTTCCTGGCTGCAGGAAACAACCAATCTTGTCCAGTGGCTTACTTTTTCTTAAATTATTGTATTAATAATACCTGTTTATTACAGAAAACAATAAAATACAGATGAGCAATGAAGAAAATCAAAATTTCTTATACTGAAATTTTAAAAACTTTATATTTTAAAAAGTCTCTTATTACAAAAGTAATACAAGTTCCTTTAGAGACATTGAGGGGAAAAAAGCCAATAGAAGTTAATAAAAATACTAAGAAATCAGGCTGGGCACGGTGGCTCACACCTGTAATCCCAGCACTTTGGGAGGCTGAGGCGGGTAGATCACCAGGTCAGGAGATCGAGGCCATCCTGGCTAACATGGTGAAACCCCGTTTGTACTAAAAATACAGAAAAATTAGCCAGGCACGGTGGCAGGCGCCTGTAGTCCCAGCTACTCCGGAGGCCGAGGCAGGAGAATGGCGTGAACCCGAGATCACGCCACTGCACTCCAGCCTCAGCAACAGAGCGAGATTCTGTCTAAAAAAACAAAACAAAACAAAGAAATCAAATTAATACTCTTCTCTATGACATTTATTCTTTTAGAATTTTTTATGCTTTCAGAATATTTTTGTAATTAAAGATAAAGATGAGTTCAAACTCTATACACTATATAGAGTTGTTTTTCCACTCAGTTATTGTGAATAGCTTTCCAATCAGTAAAACAAAACAAAATGAAACCAGACCATGACATCTTTTTTGATAAATACATCGTATTCTGTATATGATAATATCGTAATATTTTTCACTATTTCCCCACTGTTGGATGTTTAAATTATTAATAATATTCTGGCCTTTCAGCCTTTATAAACAAAGATACAAGGCTGGGCACAGTGTCTCATGCCTGAAGCCCCAGCACTTTGAGAGGTCATGGCAGGAGGATCGCTTGAGCCCAGGAGTTTGAGACCAGCCTGGCCAACAGAGTGAGACCCCATCTCTACAAAATTTTAAAAATCTTAGCCAGGCATGGCGGTGTGTGCCTGTGGTCTCAACTACTCAGGAGGCTGAGGTGAGAGGATCCAGTGAGCCCAGTAGGTTGAGTCTGCAATGAGTCGGGTTCCTGCTACTCCACTCCAGCCTGGGCAACAGAGAAAGATCCTGTCTCCAGAAACTCCCCACAGTCAAAAAGCAACAACAACAAAACGCAAAGTGACAGTAACCATTCTCATAGTAAATTTCTAGTTCCTGTGCATATTATCCCTAAAAATGTAACTGCTGCCCCAAAGAACTGACATCTTGTATAGTTTGATTTACTTTTTTCAGATTCCCTTTCACAGAATATTTTCACAAACAGCATTATTTCCTACTCTTCTGTAACAGAAAAACATCTCATTTGAAATTGAATTTTAAATGATTTGAGTAACTGTTGTATTTAATTTTTTACTCCTTTATAACTTATTTTTTCTCCTTTCATCAGTCATTTCGTATAATAATAGTGGCTAACACTTATTTTATGCTTATTATGGACAAGGTACTGTTCTAAGCACTTACACAGGAATAAACTAATTTAGTCCTCTACTAACCCTAAAAAGATAGGTATTATTATTGACCACTTTTTAATAGATAAAGTAATGGAGATCCAGGGAGGTCAAATAACTTATGTGAGGTCACAGAGCTACTAAATGTTGGAACAATGATGCCAACTGAAGCGGTTGGGTTCCAGAGTCCCAACTGCAATATTGGTTCAGAAAGGGGATATAGGGAGCTGAGAGAAATAGAGACAGGGTCGTCCTGGGTTGGAGGAGGTTCTGGTTTGTGGAGGAGGCTGAATTAGCAGTTAACCCAATCTGGTAGCTGTCTTACAGAGAGCCTTCGAGGACAAGAACCTTGTCTGTGAGGGCTGTGAATGAGAGAGAAATTGTTCTAATTTTCAGAACTGTTGGGTCCAGGAGCACAAACGTTAATTTTTACAATACATTTAGTGGAAGTTGGTATTTTTGCCTGTAATATGTAAATGCTTTGGGTAGTTTTAAGAGTATCTCTGGAATTTTTCTCAGAAAAGTGACTTAAATTGATTTATACTTAAAGTAAGAGTTATTTCTACTGGGCAATTAGTCAATGTTACTGATTAAACTACTTGCTGTGTCAAAGAATTCCAGGAACTATGATATGGGTTATGCCTTGGTAAAGATTTTAAAAACTTTACCTCACCTCAGAGATTTATGAAGTAAAATTTAATGCTAATAACTATATTATAGAAAAATTAGCCAGAATATACTGCGTTAGTAGGTGCCAGGCTAAATGGTTTACCATTTTTATGTAATTTAATTCTCTAAACTCTATGTGATAGTATTGGAAAAGATCCCAATTTTACAGATGAGGTATTCAAGATCAGGGAAGTTAAGGGTTCACCCAAATGTGATCACACAGCAGATAAGTCATAGAGCCAGAATTTACATCTATGTTTGTATTTGTCTCTGACTTTGAATTTTTGCTCTTGATGCTATGTTTTAGTGCTTATCATACACATCATACACCTGGTTATACAGTAGTTCCAAAATGCATCACTCCCGAGGATTCATATTTGTTTTTACATTTTATATTTTTCATATTATATAATTTTATGTGTATAATTTAATAACTCAAAAATATGTAGGGAAAAATAGGACATATACAATTAATTTCATTTGTGATGAATTATAATATAATTAACTTCCAAATATTCTAAGAAAATAGCATATAAGCTATCTAAAAGGAGCAATTTGAGTATTTTGAAATATTTTTATAGACCATTTTGGTCTATAAAAGATTTCTTGACTTTTAAATAACACTGGAATTAGACCATTGTATATTCTCAAAAATTGCATTAAATGCATCTCTAAGAGATGTCCTAAAAGATACATTGGTCATGCCAATAGTATTTTATTTTATATATACTCATATTTCCAAGTAATAACATTGTATTTTAATGGTGTATGTTATCCTTCCAAAGTAACACATTGGCAACAAGTAAAAGAAAAATATAAATAATAGGTGACTAGAGCGGTCAGATATACTGAGTGCAACCAACATGTTTGGGTCCAGAAATCATAAATGGAAAAAGTGATCTATATGAACCTATTTTTAGGTCCTTTGTATTTCAGCAAATGCTTCTATCATCTGCTATTTTGGGTAGTGAATCCTTGTCCATGAGTTTTCTACAGCTTTGCAGTAAGACTTGGCCATTGAATTCATGTAACTAAAAGCCTACCTATAAAATCAGTATTTCTTTAAGAATCACAAGCTATGCTCTGCTTAAGTAGTTGGAGAAAGGGTGATAATAAACATCTGATTTAAGCACCCTGGTAATATTAGTGTGAAAGCATGACCTCAGTCATGCAACCACCCAGGAGAATGAGCTTAAGCGGGTAGGAGTTTGTGCTGTTGAAGGATCAGACAAATAAGGAATCCATGCTCAGAGCTGTTTACTGTATAAAGGCAGCTTTCTCGGGTGCTTATTAATTGGGAGGGATAGGGTAATAGGAAATGGGCACAGCAATTTATAAGATTTTGCTGTTATGTTTTCAGTTTTTAAAGACTTTAATTGGGGTAAATGTGTGAAAGATTATGTGTGTATACATGTATTTTCAAAAATTCCTATCAGAGCTTTATGTGGACTATTTCAATACTACTGGGAAATCTTTCACTTATGTCAGGAAAAAATGTACCAAATAAATCATCCCCAAACATGATTGAAATTTCAAGCAGTGTTTTTGTAACATTTATACAGGACTTCCATGCTGCTACTGACACAAACTGGAGAACATTTAATGGATTCAGGCAAATGTTTATTTATTCTCTTTGCTTGGTCAGTGAAGATTTAATTTTATGCATTATGTAATATATTTTTATTAAGATGATGATAGCCCTAGTGAAAGGCAACTTCCATTTTCTTACTTCTTCCCTTTATTATTTAGTATTTTATTACTATTATTGCAAGTCAATTTTCTGAACATATCTAGGTAGATAGGTTTAACTAAGATTAAATTCAGATATTTGGTTCATATAAATCATTGCTTTTTTGATGGCACTATTCAGGTTCTCAATGCAGCAAGGAATTTAGGCCAGTGCTTCTCAAATTTCAATATGCATATAGATTACCTGAGGAACTAGTTAAATTGCAGATTTTGATTCAGTAGGTCTGGAGTGTGTCTGACATTCCGCATATCTAATAAGCTCCCATGTGATGCATTCTGTGAACCACAGTTTAAGTTGTTAGGATTTAGACCTTAGCGAATATGACAAAATTCATTTTTGAATCCAGTCTGAATGTTTGTAGAGTCTTTGCTTATTGTAATAAGGGGTGCCAGATTTAAACCTAAACTATGTCTAACTTTATAAAATGTGTAATGCAAATGTATTATGACTTGTAAGAGATGTAGAAATATGACAAGGTAAGAAACTTATTATTCTTATATTGATGAAAACCAAACTTATTTGCAATGCCAGTCATTTACAACACAATTCATTAGATACACTGCAGAATCTTAATTTAACAGAATCTAGATAATAAACCATACATTTTATCTAGTGAAGTGGAAATCAATGTAATGTAAAATAGTTTTGAAAACAATCTGAGGAACTGTATTTTTTTTTCAATTTAGGAAATAACGTCAAGATTTGTAATGAATCAGCTAGCAGAAAATAACCCTTTCCTAATGGATGGCATAGAACGGTACCCACAAGTCAGGAGCATGATCTCTCAGGGAAAAACATGTGCAATATGTGGGCAGCACTTTATAACCGTATGGCTGGAATGTGTTCGATTTGTTTCTCCGCCAAAGGTAAATGATGCTTTTTGTGCGAATATGACCATAATACCTATTCCTATCCTTTTTCTTATCTAAATCAGTCAATACTAACTAGATTTGTACCTATGATTGGCTTATAGGATAGTATGCTGTAAATTTTGGATCGACAAATTTGGATAAGTATCTGTAATAATCATCATCACCCATTCTATTTACATTCATAAATGCCTAAATTTATCAGAATGCATGCATTCTAGCAACATTTCATGAAAGTTGAAAGTTTTTAATCAGTAAATCCCTTTTGTTCATCAATATTAATAATAAAACCAGAACTATATTCTTCTCAGAAGAAGAATTGGTCAATAGTCTGTTGTGGAATTCTTGGTGTAGAAAAGGTGAATGTGCTGGCTAGTTTATATCATGATGGTGTTCTAGAACACTGAATATGCATGAATGTGCACCTGCAACATTATGCCACTCAGGAGTTGTGAATCCCAGGACAGTTCACATAGCCCATAAGGCATGTTCTAGACCAGAGCTCAGCAAACTCCTTTTTCTCTAAGTGGCCAGATAGTAAATATTTTAGGCTTTGTAGACAGTGTGATCTGTGTGACTACTACTTGACTCTCCTTTGTAGCATGAATGTAGCTCTAGATAATATGTAAATGAGTGTAGCTGTGTTCTAATAAAACTTTACTTGTGAATTTAAATTTCATATAATGTTAACGTATCATGAAATATTTTATTTTGATTTCTTTTTCAACCATTCAAAAATGTGAAAACCTTTCTTAGCTTACAAGTCTTATGAAAACAGGAGGTGGGCCAAATTTGGCCCAGGGACCATAGTTCTCCCACACCTGTTCTAGACTATCCAACATTTGCTTTTAATACCAGAATTCCTTTCTACTCTTGGTGAGTCCTCGGCCTTCCTTGGGCTAGCAGAGTATAATATTGGGGGATAATTTTAAATAAATTAATAAAAACAGCTGCAGTTTCTACCATTCTGAAAATTATCATCTAGTGAAGGAGACAAATAAGTAAACACAAATGTAACATGAATTGTGACTAACATGACATAAAAGAATGGTATATTAGTTTGCTAGGGCTGACATAACAAAGTACTACCAACTAGGTGACTTAAAATAAGAAATTTAGGCTGGCTGTGGTAGCTTATGCCTGTAATCCCAGCACTTTGGGAGGCCGAGGGGGTGGATCACCTGAGGTCAGGAGTTTGAGACCAGCCTGGCCAATAGGGTAAAATCCCATCTCTACTAAACATACAAAAATTAGCTGGGTGTGGTGGTGGGCACCTGAATCCCAGCTTCTCAGGAGACTGAGACAGGAGAATCACTTGAACCTGGGAGGCAGAGGTTGTAATGAACCAATGTTGTGCCACTGCCCTCCAACCTGGGCAACAGAGTGAGACTCTGTCTAAAAAAAAAAGAGAAATTTATTAAATTTATTGTTTCACAGTTGTAGAGGCTAGAAGTTTAAAATCAGGTATCATTTAATTTGATCATCTTGGAAAAGGCCCTATTTCCAAAAAAGGTGACTTTCGGAGGCACTGGATGTTAGGACTTCAACATGTGAATTTTGGCAGAAACACAATTCAGCCTATAACCAATGGGTTTTACAAGGAAGAGTATCAGGGAAGCCCTTCTTTAAATCTGGGATAAGGGAAGTCCTCACGGAGGAAAGGATATTTTAAATGACACCTAAAGGAAAAGAAGGTCAGGTAGAATTGTGGAAGAGTGTTTCCAGGAAACTGTTCCAGTGGGAACAGTGTGTATTAACGGGCAATCACTTTTTGATTTGAGGAACTGAAAAATGGTTCAGTGTGATTAGAAAGTATTAATTGACTAGGAGTTGAGATAGGCGGGAATTAGATCACAAAATATCATGTAGTTTATATTAGGAATTTGGCTTCTATTCAATGTGTGATGAGACACATTTGAGGAATTTTAAGTAAAAGAGTGGTATGTCCTAATTTACATTTTGAAAAGATAACATTTGCATAGAGAATGAATTAGAGGGTAAGGAAGTGAGATTAGGCAGTGGGCTATTTGTACTAGACCAGCTGAGAGATAATGATCATAGTGGCAGTGGAGGGAAATTGATGGATTGGAGATGTATCTTGGAGAAAGAAGTGATAAGACTTAGATTTCCAGGCTTTTTTGGCCTACAGAACTGTGTGAAGCAGATTTTTAAAAATTAATTAATTAATTAATTAATTAATTTTTTAGCTAAAATAGGGAAGACTAAGGGAGAAGTAGGTTCGTTGGGGAGAGATAGAAGTTCTGTTTTTGCACATGGGTAAGTATGAGACTCCTGCAAAATTTGGGAGCCTGATCAACCCGGAAGCCATAGACTCCTATCTAGTCTGTTAGGCATACTGGGAAGTCTAGGACTCATTGTTAGCTGTGAGTGTGTGTGCACGCGGGTGGGAAGATTTTGGTAGGGAACTAGATATATGACCTCTAATATCATCTCTATCTCTAAAGAGTTTGATTCTAAGTCCTGTTGTTCGAGTGATTTAGGGTATCATTATACTCCAGTAGTCTTTGTGCCAATAAAGGATCTGAGTTGTGAATATGCTTATACCTATCTTTTTTTTTTTGTATTTTTTTTTTTTGTTTTTCTGAGACAGAATCTGGCTCTGTCACCCAGCCTAGAGTGGTGGTGATCTTGATGCACTGCAACCTCCATCTCCCGTGTTCAAGCCATACTCTTGCCTCGGCCTCTCGAGTAGCTGGGATTACAGGTGGCCACCACCACACCTGTTTTTTTTTTATAGTAGAGATGGGCTTTTACCATGTTGACCGAGCTTGTCTCGAACTCCTGATCTCAGGTGATCTGCCTGCCTTGGCCTCCCAAAGTGCTGGGATTACAAGCGTAAGCCACTGTGCCTGGCCTCAGTGTATCTTATCACCAACCACTCACGAAATTTACCAAAGAATCTTTTAAAAAATACAGATTATCCTACCGTAGACCTACTAAATCAGAGTTTATAGCCGTAGGATCCTGAGCATCCACATTTTTATGAAGATTTCTAGTTGATTTTCATGTGCAGTCAGGGCTGGGAATCTCTGCTGTCCCTGTTTAGGGCTGTCTGAGTACCACAGGGCAATGGCTGTGTCTTACACACCTTAGTAAGCAAGGCCTACTTGGTTTCTTACACATGACAAAAAGTTGAATATAGAAAGTTGAATGAATATTCACTGGTTGAATATATGAATTAATGAATTGTTAGTGACAAAGGTGTAGTATAGCTAATAGTGAAAAAAGAAAAGGAGGTGTTGGTGAAGGGATAAATCCACTGTGGAGTACTGGAAGATGACAAACATCTTAATATGGCCTCTATGCTGGGGAGAATTCTTACTATGGCTGCCTTCAGGCACACTCTAGAGTTTGCTCTGTTAGTCTGCTTCTTAGACTCTATGCTGAAAGTCTTTCATTTTACTCCGCTGTAAGCAGAACAAAGGCTCCTGCATACAAGTATGCCATGTCCCCAAGAATCTCCAGAGCCTGGATTAGGCCTTTCACCTTTCACAGCCCATAGCTTCCCCAGGGCCAATCTATGAGCGTGTGTAAATGCTAATAATGTATTCTTACTAGCATTGTTAGTTGTTTCGTAAGTTTACATTTCTAACTCCTGGATGAGATCATCACTACTTATGTTCAGAGATACGTTATCTTTCTCAAAACTGTAATTGTGAAACTTCCTTTCATGAACTTCACTATATGTGTTGTTCATGATGAGGTTCAACAAGGACAACTTTTTTCCCACCAACTTTTTAGTTTGAGACATTGGAAAACAACACATAACTTGAATGAATAATACAATGAACATTTGTATACACTTTACCTAGAGTTGCCGATTTTAAATATTTTTTTCCATTGGCCTTGTCTCTTACTATTTTTTGCCTTTAAGGATGCATCTTGTCCAAAACAAATTTAAGATTGAAAGAAGCCAAGAATGCAGCCTACCTAGAAAGATTGTATTATTACTTTCTAGGGCAAAAAATAAAAGAACAGATTCTAATTATCAAAAATATGAATGAATAAATGAATGAATGGATAAATAAATCTATCCTTCATACCAAGTAGAGAGCTTTTATCAAGAGTTACAATGAATAATACAATATTTATGGGCCAGAAAATATGTAGGTTATTTTAGCTATACTAACCCATGCTTAGGACATAGAGGCTCAAATTACTGGCCTGTTTACTTTCCAAGAAGCAAAATACAGATTTTACAACAGCCACTTTACGTAGTTCATTTATAATCCTGTAGAATGAAATCCGGAAACAGTCATCGGAGTTCACATCACCTGATGTCAGGTATTTACACATCACCTGATGCCAGGTATTTACATCACCTGATGTCAGGTATTTACTCTGAACTAGCTCTGCGGATCCTGATAGACAGCCTGATAGACAGTATCCACAGAGCTAGTCCAGAGTAAAAGATCTAAGTCAGCTATGGTTGTGTGGAGCTACTACGATTTTTCTCACAATGTCCTTTACCAGAGTTTTTGACACTGCCAAGTACTGTAAAATGTTGCATGTGAATTGGGAGACTAAAAGGAAGGCTAGAAGTGTTTTCCTCTTGAATCAGTATGTACAAATTATGTTTGTACTAGACATATTCATGTGTGCTTAAGACAAAGAAAAGTGGAAGAATTAATCAGAGAAATCATTCTCAACTCAGTTACATGTATATTGGGCCCTAGTGTGTTGCCTATAAAAGTTCTCTATGAATAAGAAACAGTGATTTAAGTTGTTCAGTTTTTCAATACCTCAATGCTCTTGCTATGGAAATGTCTTTGTCAAAGTTGAGTTGGTGTTTACATCAGAAAGTTTTGAAGTCTTCATGGCATTTAGCAAAATTTGTAGTAATCGATTTACTTGGTGTTGGTGTCTGTCTCTACCATTGAATACTAAGCTCAAGGAATTCAAGAACCATTTTGGTTTTGTTCATCATTATAGAGAGAGAGCTTGGGATAATACCTGATAAATATTTTATTTCTACAGGATGATAAATCAGATCTAGATTTGAATACCAGCTCCTCCTTTAATTAGTTTGTCAACATATTACACCTCTATGTATCATAAGAAAAATCTGGCAAAGGTGCTGCCAAGGAGGGCTAATGTTAAGATTTTTAAAAGCCCAGAATCTAGAACTAACCAGGTAGCCAAAGAGAACATTAAAATAGTGGTTGAGCAGGAATTTGAAACTTAAAACCATCTGAACCTTAAATACAAAGAGAAAAGAGAGCTCATCGGTGGGAAAATGAGGATAGAAATGTATGTTGGTCCTCAAGATGGGAGTAAATATATAATCTTGATCACATATGTAGCTGTCTGTGAATCGTTCACATTATCATCTGGAATGGATTGTTATATTCAAGAGACATTTAATGAGTACAGCATGTCAGATTACTTGGAAGCAGTTTTCAAAACATCCTGCTTTCCACTGGCGATGTTCTGAACACCTTGGACAAGTTGCCATTTTTAACTGTGCTCTGACAGATTCCTCTCAAAACCATCTGATGTGCTGCTACTCTTATTTCATATCTCTCTTTCAGAAACTACAACCTAATACAAGCAACAGCAGCCAGAATTTATTTGGTATTGAGTGTGCGTCTCGTGCTCTGCTAAATATGTCACCTGGAATACCTCAATTAATGTCCAAAATAACCCCATGACACCTATAAGAAATCCCAGGAAATGAGAAATCAAGTAATTCTGCCAATTTCAGAAAGCTGCCAAGTAGAGGATATGGGCAGGGAACTCATATGTGTTATTCCTGATCCTTAACCAGAAGTCTAGGCTATGTTTCCTATGCTTTTCCAACCTAGATATTCCCCATTTACTTCAGCTGAACTTAAGACATTTATGTTAAAGATGCTTCTTCTGTCATCATTTATTTCTCCACTGAAACTTTTAAATTTTTTTCTAACTATGTGTTAGGCTATATGCCAGGGCTGGGAATACAGAACCCTGACCCTTGAGAAACTCACATGTTCCCAGGAGAAGTGGAATAATAAGGACTGGAATCTGACAAGTTAGGTTTGATGTCCAGCCCTACCACTTGCCACCTGTGTCCTCTTACTTGCCTCTTCAAGGCTAAGCTTCCTTATCTGTCAAATGGCAATAGTAATAATACCCATCCCACAGAAATGTGGTTAGGGATCATGAGGTAATGCATAAACAGTGCTTAGTACAGTGGGTGTAGTGGGTGCTGAATGGAGGTAGCATATAGTAGGTGCTTAATAAGTATAATTTTGTGTGTGTGTGTGTGTGTGTGTGTGTGTGTGTTTTGTAAACCAAGGCTTTCAAACAAGAAAGAGAGAACGGTTGCATTCTTGTGATAAGTAGATGTGAAGCTGCACAGGATGCTGTGAGAAGAAGGCATCTCCAGTAAATGGGATTGTCCCTGGTTTAACCTTGGTGCCTACCACAGTGATTGTGTTTGGAGAATCCATAATAAATGTTAAGTTATTTTAAGAAGCATTTCTTAGAAATGTGCTTTGAAGGCTAGGGAGGCATTTAGAATAGATAAAGAACTAGTGGATAGGCATTTCAGGCTAGGCCATTGCCTGTGCAGAGGTAATATTGTGCAAATATAAATTGCACAATGAGTACAGGGAAGTCACGGAAGGTGAGGTATGACAGATGAAGTTGGAGAGAACAGCATATGAGGTTACAATGACTCTTGTGTGTGAAGTTTGAGCTTAATTTCAAAAGCTAGTGTATAAGTTGCTGGGGCTGCATAACAAAGTATCACAGACTCGGTGGCTTACACAACAGGAATTGATTTATTAACAATTCTGGAGGCTAGAAGTCTGAGAGCAAGGTGCCAGAAGGGGTTGGCTTCTCCTGCAGCCTCTCTTTGGCTTCTACATGGCTGGTTCCTTCCTGTGTCTTCACATAGTCTTCCTTTGATACGTGTCTGTGTCCAAATTTCCTCTTCTCATAAGGAAGTCAGTCATATTGGATTAGAGCTCACTTTACTTGACTTCATTTTAGCCTAAGTACCACTTTAAAGACCCTATCTCCAAATACAGTGACATTCGGAGACACTGGAGTTTAAGACATATGGATTTTTGGGTAACACAGTTTAGCCCGTAACAGCTACTTAGAGTTGTTGAAGTAGTGGGTTAGCAAGATGACATTTTGCTTGACAAGGAGAGGTTAGACCTGGTGATGTGGATTTAAAGATTGTTTATATAAGTGTGACACTCGAAGCCCTGGGAATGAAGATTACCCAAGGAGATCTACCCAGTAGGGTGAGAAGACCAGAAGGACAGAACCTTGGAAGACAATATTATTAAAAGGTGGCAAAAGCAGGAGTCAGCAAATGAGAATGAAAAGAAACAATCAGGGACAGAAGGGCAAAACAGGGAGAGTGGCACAAATTCTTCAGCCATAAAACACAGATGCGCAATAAATAGGGCTTTCTTGCTTTTTCTTCTGCTGAACTTAGCTTTTATTTGGGCCCCCATTCTACTGGAAAATTTATCTAGTTAATTCAAGGCTTATGTGGTAATTTTAGGATTTCCTAACTCATTTCAGGTTTTATCTTGATCACTTAGAATTTCCTTCCTCTCCTTTCTCCCTATATTATCTAATTATTGGAGTTTTTAAGTAGTGTCATGGTATTAGTAGGTAGGAGCCATATGTTCTGCCAATGTCCTGTTTCATGTAGGCATCCTCTGGGTGTATGATCTTCCTATCTAGATCGAAGCTCCATGGTGTTTTCTACTTCCCATTGGTCATGCTTCTTCTTCCATGTACCCTGTGTCTTCTTGTTCTGATGTTGAAGTCCCTTTTGTTTGCTGGTTCTCTTTCAACCACTTCTACACTATTCTCTAGGTGTAAGAAAATTTTGGCTGCTCTCTTACTCTATTATGGGCTCAAGAATGAACTGACTAAAGAGGCCAAGTTAACAGATCCAGGGCTGAGGAGAAGAAACAGCACTGAAAAATTAAAAGAGGAAGGTGGTGTCCTTTGTGTCATTAAGTGGCAGGGCTGGAAGCAGGTTGCATTGGTAAGAAGCCTGATGGGGCCAGGCGTGGTGGCTCATGCCTGTAATCCCAGCACTTTGGGAGGCTGAGGCGGGTGGATCACCTGAAGTCAGGAATTGAAGACCAGCCTGGGTAACATGGTGAAACCTCATCTCTACTAAAAACACAAAAAATTTAGCCAGGCATGGTGGTGGGCACCTGTAATCCCATCTGCTTGGGAGACTGAGGAGGTGGGAGAATCACTTGAACCCAGGAGGCAGAGGTTGTAATGAGCTGAGATCATGCCATTGCACTTGCACTGCAGCCTGGGCAACAAGAGTGAAACTATGTCTTAAAAAAACAAAACAAAACAAAAAAAAGCCTGGTAAGAATACAGAAGTGAAACCAGCAAGTCTTGACTAATCTCCAAGAAATGTAGCTGTAATAGGTAGGAGTGCTATAGAATATATTCTTTGGAGGGTGAGGAAGGCTTGAAGAAAGATTTTGAAAATGGGAAGATATGTACATGATTGTAGGCTGTGGAAAGAGCTAGTAAGGAGGATGTAATATTAGTCTGTCTTGTACACCAGTTCAGGAAAAGTTTAATGCTGTGATTAGGTACTGCTACTTTAAAAAATTAATATGATTTTCAATAGAATGTTATTGCATGATGAGCCTTATCTATTCCATCATCTTAAGGGAATGAGTAAACCAAGAAGAGGAGATATGAAAGGTTTTAAACAACTAGAAGATGGGTAATGGTAGTGGTTTTCCACTTACAAAATGCTTTTTCCGTATTTTTTTCTTTGAACATCTTTATTGAGTTCGTACTATATGCAAGGTACTGTGCTAAGCTTTCTGGATCCAAAGATGAATAAGATGCAGTTCATGGTATTGAGGAAATCACAGACTATTAAAATGTAACGTTAGAAGAATTATCATAAAGCATTATATACCCATGCTATGGAGTCACAGACAGAACAAACAACTATTTTGGTGGAGGCTTAAAGGTAACTTTCCTTAGGGGGTGACATTTAAGTAATAGAGTTTCTGGTCCTCATATTAACTTTGTGACTTGGTTTTCATTGTCTTTATTCACAGTTGAGGTAACTAAGACTAAGCAAAGTTAAGTAGTTTGTTCACAAATTTCAAATCTATCAAATAATAGAATTAGGACTTTAGCTTACCTGACACCTCCTGATACTACCTTCTGTCTCTTTTTCCTGCACGAGAACATGCACATTTTCATTTTGAATCATAAGAGAAAGTGCAAATGAATTTATTGATTGATGATGATACCACTACTCCCAATAGCTACCTTTGTATGTCTGAAACACTGTCATGTGAAAGAGAGTTGAGGCTTTTCTTCTGCTGACTTGTAGAGTAGAAAATAGAACCACTGGCCATTCAGGTCAGATAGACAGAACTATCTTACAGGATTTTAAACACAGACATGCACACACACAGACACACACAGACATACACACACACACACACACACAGGTTAACATCAATCATCACTGAGGAAACAACAAACTTGGAAACAAGAGTAGGAAAATAAGGAGAATTGATATCTATATAATTTCACTTTAAAAATTAAAAGAGAATACATTTTTATAAATTAAATATGTCTGAGGGCATTATAAAAACATCAACATAATGGCATAAGCATATAGCATGAATTAAAAACATAATGGTTAAAAGAAAAACCCATTAGCTAGGATCTACACCCTTTGAATGTCCTAGCTAATGGCAGAAAATGTTCAAATATTGAAAAAAGACAATTTCAGATTGAAAAAGCACTTTGAGTGCCAAGCACAACAAACAAGAACAAATCCATACATAGACACGTTTTGGTAAAACTATATACCACCAAAGTTGAACTATTAAGAGCTAAAGATGAAATGTTAAGAAAAGATAGATCACTTACAAAGAAGCAGCAATGAACTGACATCAGATTTCTCACTGACACTAATAGATGCCAGAAAAAACAATGGCATACTATTTTCAAGCACTAAGGGAAAATAACTCAAAACGTAGACTTACGCATGTAGATATATTGATAGGCAGAAGGCATGGGAGTGTCAGAAAATCATAACAAGAAAAAACTTTTAAAGGAAAATAGTTTTGCTTTGTAAAAGCCATGATTCTAGACAGTGCAGAGCCACGGGGGCTGCGGCCCAGAGTCAGAGTCGGAGTCATGGTGACCAGCTGCAAGCATCCGCGTTGCGTCCTCCTGGGGAAGAGGAAAGGCTTGGTTGGAGCCAGCAGTTTCCAACTCCCTGGCGGTCATTTGGAGTTCGGTGAGAACTGGGAAGAATGTGCCCAAAGGGAAATCTGGGAAGAAGCAGCTTTTCACCTGAAAAATGTTCGCTTTGCCTCAGTTGTGAATTCTTTCATTGAGGAGGAGAATTACCATTACGTTACTATATTAATGAAAGGAGAAGTGGATTTAACTCATGATTCAGAACCAAAGAATGTAGAACCTGAAAAAAATGAAAGTTGGGAGTGGGTTCCTTGGGAAGAATTTCCTCCTCTGGACCAGCTTTTCTGGGGACTGTGTTGTTTAAAAGAACAAGGCTATGATCCATTTAAAGAAGATCTGAACCATCTGGTGGGATACAAAGGAAATCATCTCTAGGTGGCCGAGAAGATTTCTTGATTTTCTTTAAAAACACAAGAATAAGGTCTGGTTAGGGAATGAAAAATGTCTACATTTCAGAACAACTCCATTTTATCTAAAAAAGATCTTATAATCGCCAATTTATTTGCAATCTCTTAATGTATCCACCACCCTTTCAGCCAGTACTTGAGAAAATTTTTCTGAAATATGTCATTGAATTGTATTCCAGACACAGAATATATGATATGTACTGATATTATGGGTGATCTGCTTTCCATATTTACCTATGATATTTACTGTGCAGTTTGTCATTAATAGTTTGCATGGAGTAGGATGCAGTCGAATTTGCCTTAGTGTTTCTGTTCAAATAGAGACCTGAATTCAAATATTGTAGTTTAGGTTCAAACACAGTATGCCTGTTGCAAAATTTACCAAATTTGTTGATTACCTCTTTTATTAAAGAAATGTTGGGGAGAGGGTAATAAATATATTGTGACAATCTTTGCAACTTACAGGGAATAGGACAGGTCATTAGGGTGTATTTCCCAGGTTCCCAATTGAGAACCTAAACCAAGAGAAGTGAGACAAACCATCTAATGTCTGTATCCTCCTATTAACAGGCTGTGTGATGTTGAGTTTCTCACTTACTCTTTCTGAGGTCCAGGGTCCTTATATGTAAAATGAAGAGATTCGTCTAGAGCACTGGTTCTCAAAGTGTGGTCGGGGGTCCTCAAGAGCCTTTCAAGGGTATTCTAGGTCAAAGCTGTTTTTATAACACTTAGACATCATTTCATCATTTATAGTTTTTCCTTTTTTTTTTATTTGAGAAGGAGTCTTGCTCTGTTGCAGTGGCATGATCTCAGTTCATTGCAGCCTCCGTCTCCTGGGTTCAAGCAATTCTCCTACCTCAGCTTCCTGAGTAGCTGGGATTACAGGCACCCACTACCACACTTGGCTAATTTTTGTATTTGTAGTGGAGACAGGGTTTCACCATGTTGGCCAGGCTGGTCTGGAACTCTGGAGCTCAAGTGATCTGCCCACCTCAGCCTCTCAAAATGCTTACAGGTGTGAGCCACCACGCCTGGCCATCATTTATCTTTTTCACTCATTGTTTTCATGAGTGTGCAGAGGAGTTTTTGAGAGGCTATCTGGTGTGATATTGTAATAGACTGAATGCAAAAGCAGATATGAGAATCCAGCTTTCGTCTGTCATCAGACATTGAAGAGATTTGGAGAAATGTGAAGCAGCAGTACTCTTCTCACTAATGATTTTTGTTGGTGGTGGTTAGAAAAATGGTTATTTTTTAGTGGGTTTTAATATGTGAAAAAAATAAAAATAGCTATTTGTCAAAAATGTTATTTATGTGTTTATACATAATGGGTTTTTGTTACTTGTCAATGATTAATAAAAATTTTAAGAAAAAAAACTATTGATTCTAGCCTTATAAAAATCATTAAACTAATAATATTTATTAAGTATATGATAGTAAAAAAGTATGTGACAATGGAATTAGAATAAATGTGTACAGCTTGTTAATCATGCTAAATAAATTTAAGGATGCTTAACATATTTAAAAATTGATAAAGAAAATTGAGATTTAAATATATATTACTAGATGTTAGCAATTAAAAAAAATTAAATGCCATTTTTAAGTTCCATGTTTCCAGAGTTGAAACAGAGTGAAAACATGCACAGAATACTTGGGGATGATAATCAGATTAACCACACTGGTAAACAATTGCTTTTATATATCTCTAGATTTTTGTGTTAAGTAGACAGCAATTATACAAAAAAATAGTTTGCCTGGAAGCCTTTCTTTCTGTTAAAAATTTTTTAATTTGTTAATTATCTCTTCAGAAACTAAACTTAGAGACTGCTGACCTTTATAGCAAATGCTTTATCAGGAAGGGAGAACATATTTGATAATGCCAACGTCTGGTTGCCCCTGTTGTGCTTTACCCAATGTTCTGCTTCTTACGGGGTTTACACTCAAAGGAGGGAGACACTGGATGATAAATGGGTCTTTATTCTCAACATAAAACACAGAACAACCAAATATCAAATTTTAATTGCTTCTATTCAGGTGAATGTAAAATTATGTCATGCTTGCTTTATGAAATAATGAGATGAGGATTGGAAAATAGTCAAACAATTTTATTCAGTCTCAAATATCAACCTTGATCATAATTCATCCAGATGCTTTTGTCTTTTTCTAAATGCTATAGTTCTGCCATCAAAGTTGAGTTAGTCCTTAGCAATTACAAAATGATCAATAATTTCAATGTAGTTGATATTTCAATATTAGCTACTAATGATATAAATCTTTGAAATAGCAACAAAAAATTATCCTTTTTAGTTAGCACTAACTTTGTCCGTATTTGAACAATGACTTAGACATAACCTAAATAGTCTCATAAAATTCTTTCCAGACGCTTGAGTGATCCTGTACCCAAGACATGCATTTAATAGTTTTCATTTCTTATAGTCTCGTTAGTTGAACTTAACATTTCCCCAGATTCCTTTAAAGTTGAATAATTTAGGGAGGGAATGGTTTGGAACATGAACTCTCAACCCTGTGTTAAATGATGTAATGTAATTAAAACTACCCTCAAAAGAGATTAGACTGAGTAGGTCTCCCTATACATGAGCAAAAAACGTTCATCTACTTAATGAAAATAAATGAAAATTTGTAACTTTAATTCCTTTTTTATGACAAGCTGCCAGTAATGAAACATAGGATTACATTTAATAATTTTACTCATTACTTACAAAGTAAAATCTTACTTTGCAGTAAAAGGTTATTACTGTTAAGATACCACTGACATTCATTTATGAAACTGATCATTTCAACCAGTCAACTGTGAAAATGAATGTAGGTTTTAAAACATTTATGCCACGGTTGGTCAAGTTAACATACATTAGGTACTAAGAGGATCAGAAAGCATTACATTTCTAATTCTAAACAGCCATGAAAGTCATAAGTATTTATTGTTTAGAAAAATTAAAATGGATATATATTTCTTATTGTTTTATTCCAAAAATAGCAAAATAATTAGAGCATAAATGAGCTCGTACACTGTGTCTTGATTACTTTTACTCCTATAAGAATTCCTCGAATACTCTTACCCTTTCAGAGAACTCTCTCTTTTGTTCTTAAACTGCTGGATAGAGTCACAGTAGTATTCTGTATCTATAATTTTCTTTCTTCTAAATAATATTAAATTGTATTCAGCTTTAGTTTAGTTTTCTGAAGCTGTATATCATCAAAATGTTGAACATTCCTTGTGAAATTCACAGGATATTGATTATGCAGAGGGTGCTGTGGGAGAGCAGGACCACTGTGTGGGGGAGGGAATGCTGCTTAGCTGGCTGGCTGGCTGGAACATGACGGGATTTTCTTTGTGATTTCTGTTCTTATCACAGTCCAAATGGCCCTGAGGGTGGAATGACCATATAATGTATCAGCTAAGCCAAGATGCTTTTGAGAGTAAAAGTGGATTTTATTAATAGCTGGAAAAACAACAGGAAACCAGGACTGTCCTTGGCAAATACCAATGTATGGCTACCCTTGCTAAATGGAGTAGTTAACTTCAGAGCAGTGCTCATGTCACTTATCACCGTGGCATGGCAGTGACAAATTATATTTAGTCATTCCATAAATTTTTGAGGGCCTGCTTTAAACAGGGAACTGAATGCTAAGTACAGTGCAAATAAGTAGGGGACCTAGTCTGTCCCAAATGGTTTAAAATCTGAATTTAAATGCTAAAGATGTAAAAGATATTAGCAATAAAATCTAGATGTTAAATGAGTGATAGAGACCAATTACTTTAGAATTCAAAGCGGAAGATGAGATCACTGTAGGTTGTCTGGTCTGGGAAGTGCCCAGAAAGACGCTGGGACTTGTATGTAGCCTTGAAATAGGTGGAATTCAGATACGTGGAGAAGACAGCAAAGAGGACATTTTAGGAGAAGAGAATGGTAGGGAGGAGAATAAATCATGTTCATAGGGCAGTAAATCAGTTTGGTAGGTTTGTGGATAGGAGTGGCCGGAGGAGACATTATTAAAAAATTGAGGTCACATGCCATGAACCTATCAAAGGATTAGACTAAGTAAGGGGTTTGAACTTGATCTTGATTGAAAATGAAACCCTACTGAACATGTGGGGGAAAGCTGGTGATAAAGGTGTGTTTTAGAAAGAGTCACTTGGCAATAGTGTGCTGGCTTAATTGAAGTTTGAAGAGAAGAGAAACTGAAGATAAGAGGCCAGTTAGAGTGGTTGCCTACTGTGGGTGTAAGGTGTGGTGGTGGAAATGCAAGGAAGGAAAGTATCATAAAGAAGGAAGGAAAATATAAATTGTTGATTGATTGAGCATGGGAAACCTCTGAGGGGTATGAAGGAGAAAGAGGAGTCCAGAAGGGAGCTGGTTTGGAAGGCAAGACCCCAAGTTTTATCTTAGACATGTTGAGTTTCAAGTGATGCCTGGATAATTCAAGTGAATATATTTAACCCTTAGTTGGAGACAGATTGGCATAGAAAAGAAATTTACTTCTTCAGTATGTTATTTGAAAACATGTGCACTTTCCAACAACTATTCATTCTTCTAAACCATTCTGTAGTTGCTATTAAACTATAATAGAAATCCTCATTAATGAAAGGGCCTGGGAATCATACAATGACTAACACTAATCTATAATTTAGTGAACTTAGATTCTAATCTTGTCTCTACCTTGAAATATGAGGCCTAAGGTAAACCATCTACCTTCTTACTATATCAGGACTAATTTCCTTACTTGGACAATGAAGAGATTAGACCAGTCTCTTCCAGCATGAAAATGGCTTGATTCCATAAGCAGGGAGCACTGCCATTGTTATGCTTTTCAGGTCCTGCTAATTTGGAACATGATAACAGTATTAGTTTTCCATTGAAGCTGTTAATAAATTCCCCAAAACTTGGTGACCTGGCAGAAATGTATTTTTTTTTTTTTTTTATAGTCAACTAGATCAGAAATTAAACATGGGTCTCACTGGGCAAAAATCAAGATTTTGCAGACTGGGTTTCCATCTGGAGGCTCCTGGGGAGAACCATTTTCTGGCCCTTGACAGCTTCTAGAGGCCCCTCATATCCCTTGGCTCATGGTTCCTTTCTTCCATCTTCAAAGTCAGTATTGGCAGATCTAGGCCTTCTCATATCACCTCACTTGGACCTTCTCTTCTGTCTCTGTCTTCCACTTTAACAACTCTTGTGATTACATGGGGCCCACCTGGATAGTCCAGGATAGCTTTCTTACCTCAAGGTCCTTAATTTAACCCAACCTGCAATGTCCCTTTTGTTATGTGAGGTGACATGCATATTCATGGATTTTAGGAATTAGGATGTGGACATCTTTGGAGGGGACATTATTTTGCCTACCGAGATACCTTTTCCTGAAAAAACAGGAAACCATGTTATGCTCTTTTTCTATTCCTTGTGCTTCATATAATATTGAAATCTTATCCAAACTTTTTACTGTGCCATATAAATATATATTGCAATAAATTTTAATTTCTCAAAGTTTAAAATATGGCAGTGATGGTTACCAATTATGTTGAATGATTTAAAAAAATTTCTCAATTCTACCACTCAACAAACATAAAACTTAGCAAAGAGTGATGTTTGAATTTAAAGTGGAAAACTACTTTTTAAAAAATATGTAGAGAATATAATCATGTGTGTGTTTGCTTTAGAAAATAATGCAAATATTAATGAGTGAAAAAGTAAACTGTACTATAGCATTTCACTTTTTGAAGCTTTTTGCTAGAATAATATTTTTTTTTCAAAATAAAAGCATATATAATCACAGACCAACTCCTTTTCCTATTCACTGACCTTGACTTGACAGAAAAGATATTTCATTGAGTGTTTTGATTTCTATCTATAAACAATGACAAAAGCAGTATTTGTCTTTGACAAAATCATGAGTTTTTGTTAATTGAGGTTTGTGAAGAGAGGTCTTCTATAACAGGGAGTGTCTTTATTCCTTTGTAACATGCTCATTTCAAATGGACATATGTCGTACCAGTAGAAACAGTTGCAATGATGCCACAAATAGAAATACAAATTTAAAAGGGCAGCAAGTGGTAAGGTGGTAGGAAAATTTAATGTCATGCAAACTTTACTAGAGATAATTAATCTAGATGGAAAAGTATAATACCAAGGAATTATGCTGAGTTGTTTTTCTCAGTTAAGTTTCTAGAAAACAATTCATAGCCCTGAAAAATATTGTATAAGAAATAGAAATTATTAAGTTAGAGAATAATCAACTTCAAAGTTTCATGTTCACTATACAACTAACAATGGGCCTTTGGTTAAAAATCTCAATCTAATCTAAAATCTCAATCTCAATCTAAAAATCTCACCAAAATATTCATTTTATTCTAATTAACTAAACAATGCTTCCCCCAAGAAGGGGAAAGAGGGACACAGACATTTTGCATTCCTGCTTGCAATAAGAGCCAACCTAAACTCTGCCCATGCAATGTCTTAATGACACGAGGGAAATGGCTAAAACCACACTGGAAATAGAAAATGCCTTTAATACTTTCTATTATAAACTTTTCACCTCATGAAGAAACTGGACAAAGCAAATCAGATGTCTAACTTGTTTCCTTAGTTTATATTTGTTTCTTTCTCTAACTTCCTCCTGTTGGTTCCTGGCTCTATTTTTTGTTCGCGTTTCTTAAATAGGAGCTGAGGAAAATGTATGTAGCACAGTTTATTTTCCATAGTTCTTTAATTCTGGCTGAGATATGTTACAGAAGTACGCAGGATGAACTGGTTGGGTGAGATGGTTGCCTAGTATATGGAAAAGGAAAAGACCATATTTAGTCTCTGTCTTTTGTCGTTTGTTCTCCAACCACAATTTCATCACTTAATCATTATCATTATAATCTAGTTAGGGAATCAATATTATATGTTATAGAGTAGATTTGAAATATTATATGTGTCTGTCATTCAAAGATACTTATGAAATCCTTTTACTTCTTGACTAATGTATTGTTGATATTCCATGATTTAACATTTTATGGTCTATTTATAGTTTATACTGTATTGTTTCTCCAACACAATGTGCACATTCTTGAATTTATGCTTTCATAGTTCACCCTTCCTGAAATGTCCTTTTGGTTTCTTCCCAGGCAGATACATTCTAGTCAACTTTCAAAACCCAGCTCTCCTTTTTCTTATATTGTGAAATCTTGCTTAATATGCAGCCTATGGTGTCTCCTTTCTCTGCATTCATGTAGAACCTGTCTTTGGACTGAGCCATATGTTTCTATTTGTGTGTGCGTGTGTGTGTGTGTATGTGTGTGTGTGTGTATGATTATTGTCTTTCCAACTAGATGCTAAGATTCCAGCTAGATGCTAAGAGGCAGGGATTATTTGCGTATATCTTTGTAGCCTGACACTTTGCCTAATGTTGTGCAGATTTTAGGTAACTTATAATTTGTCAGGACTCTTGGTTGCAAGTTAAAGAAAACCAACTCATACACCAACTTAAGCAGTGAAGAAGGTCCAGGGATGAATCTGGTTGAAGATTTTGTCATGTCTAAATTAGGTTTCCAAATTTATCAATGGGAATCTGTCCTTTATTTATTATCTCTGCATTCCTTTGTTTTGGCTTTGCTTTCCAGTAGCAGCTGCCTAAATTGTGTCTTTTGGGAGTAAAGGGAGAGCTTCCTTCTCTCAGTAGATGCAGAGAAAGTCCTGGGGCTGATGTTCATTGGCTTCCTTGGACTGTCTTGCATTATGTGCTTACCCGAGAATAATCACCATTGTCAGAGGGAAGCAATTGAGTCATTGCCTGGGCCTGAGTTACTTGGTCATATATTGAGCCAGGGAGTGAGAAAAGTTGCTCTCTCACTCCCCCAGCATATACACTGAGATTGGAGGAGCGGTAGTTGCCCAAAGGAAAAACAGGGCTTTTGTGCCAGTACAGTGGGAAATGGATCCCAGACAGGAAAAACCAAGATGTCCACTGAGGAGTTCAGTACCTGTTTGCTGATTGATGAATTAATATCTTTGTAGGAAAGAAGTCAGGTTTGTAGCTGTAGCTATTCTGTACCATTTTTCACCTTCATCCAAAATATTTTACGGTTAGGATAGTGCTGTGTATCCTCTAAGTGCTTCACAGCCACTGTTGGAGATGGGTGTGAAGGGGATATGACTTATGACTTTGGCTCCCTGCTGATATATCACCAGGGTTAAAAGGCTGTTACTGTCTCAAGGGTGGATTAATAACTGTGCTTACCTGTTTGAACCTTTCAATAGGATCTCAGAGTTTTTTTATGGAAGAGTGAACAGAACAGCCATCAAATTTCTCATTGTGGGTTGTGATGGTATTGGCCAAATGGTTTCATGGTAAAACTAAGTAGCATTATCAGCCAATTAAATATTTCCCAGTTACCAGTTGTGGGAGTCTTTTGGATTCTCTCACTGAGAGCTGTGTTGATTTCGGAAGATGATTATAAAACACAGAAATGATAAGCTTTTGAGGTTACCATTATTTCAAACATAAATGGTCAATATATGTACATTAAATTGGCTAACAGGGTTTTGACTGCTTATTTTGTACACTAAGAAGTAAGATTAGAAATATTTGAAGTACAAAAATTTAATTCATTTATTAGGCAACTTACCTGAGACCTAGCCAGTGAAGATCTTAGTGAATAGTGCAGACAGTGAACAAAGAATTTTAGGAAGATTAATTTCCATGGGAACTACATGCTGGGCAGGTAAAACCAAGATGCCCATTAGGAAGTTCAGTAAATATTTGCTGATTGATCAATTTAATACTCCTGAAGGACAAAAGTCAGGTTCGTGTAGATTCTGTATCATTTTTTCACCTTCATTTCAAACACTTTATGGTTAGACTACATAATATGTTTGAATAAAAGCACACATGATCTTTCATCATTTGGATTTTATTTAGCATTTGAGTATGACTTTCTTAGCTAGTTAAGTTTGCGTTTTTATGTGTGAGAAAAGAGCAAATCAAGCATAAATAGAATAGTGCGTCCTTTAGAAATCAATGTTCTGAAACCTCTGAGAAAGCAAATGTTTATTTTAATGAAAAATACTTATTGAACACTGACTAAATTTTATTTTTAATCTTTACTTTTTAGGACTGGAAGATAAGCAAGAATCTGCAGCTGGTGCCTCTCCGAGTGTTAATTTGTTCTTACAAATGTTTTACTCAACGTGACCCTAACCTCTTTGGAATTGCTCAGGTGTAGAACAGGTGAGGTGCTCCTTCATAGCCTCACTCAACTTGCCCTGTCAGCTCTGCATACACAGATTATGCCCTACTTAGGATACCATGCTGTACCTATTCTCTTTGTCAACGTATTAAATAAAGGAAGAAAAATAATTCCATTATGATGTTCCCAATCTAAGCACTACAATCTGCCTTTAGCTTGCTTAGATTCTAGGTGTGCTTTTTTTGGCTTAAAAAAAGTAAAAAAAAAAAAAAAAAAAAAAAAAATTGAAAAAAAATTGAAAAAAAATGGAAAAATAAAGATTTGTGTGGCAAGTGAGTTATTTTTTTCCTGCTATTTTATGACTGCCACTCCCCTTTTTCTAGGTGAGTATTAAGAGACTTTGATGGGGAAAAGTATTTGTTTTATGAATGTTTTGCGATTGAAAAGGAATCACTGTTTTGTGCTAGATAGTCATATTACATTTGTGTGATTTCATTTGAAGCACTAATATCTATTGACCTTCACACAAAAAATGAGTAGAGCCTGGAAACTCTGGTTTGGTAACCTGTAATAGCACTTTGTGACTGTTTTTAATTTTTTTCTCTTTTTAAAAAAACTTTTACATGACAAACTGCTGAGGCAGTAGTGCAGGAATGAGAATTTTACTCATTTTCTTTGAAGGACAACAGAAAAGTAGAAAAATAAATTATGAAAATATGTGGTATGCTTTGCACAGACCAGTGGTTCCTGGAAGTGTGTTCTATTCAGCACCATCCACATCAGTTGAGAACGTGTTAGAAATACAAATTATCTGGCTCCATTCCAGAACCACTGAATTAGAAACTTGGGGAGTGTGGCCCAGTAATTGCTATTTTAACAAACCCTCCATGTGATCTCTTTGCATACTCTAGTGTGAGAACCATAGGATAGACTTAGATAAAGCTGCTGCATGTTCAGAAAAGTGAGAAATGTCATTATAATTTTATATTTAAACCCCACCAGAAATCTATTTCTTCTTGTCACTACCTATGGTCCTTCTGGTGGAAAGCTGAGTGGAGTCTCTCATCTTCCAGGTAGTTATTATCAGGTTACCTTCCTAGCAAGGCCTTTTATGAGTTTAATTCAGATTCTTTATGCATCAGAGTTGCCTCTAGCATAACTGAGAAGTGAAATCAATGGAGCACAACAAAGAGATCCTCAAACCAGAGAGGAGAGTTCAGGCCCCACTGAGACAGAGGTAGGGCCTCAAGGAAACTTTCTAAAGGCTCCATTAACCAAGAATGCAGTTTAAACAAAAATAAAAAACCAAGTACAAATGAAAGACATAGGAGCTCATCAAAAATGCATTACAGGGGTAAAGTCTGCATGCTTATTTTGAGGGAAAATTGCTCAGTAAATTGATTTTGATTAGGGAAATAATTTCTTATAACCTAAGCTGTTGAAAAAGTGTTTTTGTTTTTTTTCTTTATTTCTTCTAAAAAAAAAAAAAAAAAAAAACTGGGATACATGTGCAGAACATGCAGGTTTGTTACATAGGTATACACGTGCCATGGTGGTTTGCTGCCCCTATTGACCCATCCTCTAAGTTTCCTCCCCTCATCCCCTACCCCCCAACAGGTTCTGGTATGTAATGTTCCCCTCTCTGTGTCCATGTGTTCTCAATGTTCAACTCCCACTTATGAGTGAGAACATGTGGTGTTTGATTTTCTGTTCCTGTGTTAGTTTGTTGAGGATGATGGCTTCCAGCTTCATACAAGTCCCTACAAAGGACATGATCTCATTCATTTTTTATGACTGCATAGTATTCCATGGTGTATATCTACCACATTTTCTTTATCCAGTCCATCATCGATGGGCATTTTGGTTGGTTCCATGTCTTTGCTATTGTAAATAGTGCTGCAATAAACATACATGTGCATGTGTCTTTATAGTGGAATGATTTATAATCTTTTGGGTGTATACCAGTAATGGGATTGCTGGGTCAAATGGTATTTCTGGTTCTAGATCATTGAGGAATCGCCACACTGTCTTCCAGCAAGGTTCAACTAATTTACACTCCCAACAACAGTGGAACACTCACCAACAGTGTAAAAGCATTCCTATTTCTCCACAGCCTAACCAGCATCTATTGTTTTCTGACTTTTTAATAATCACCATTCTAAGTGGAGTGAGATTATCTCATTGTGGTTTTGATTTGCATTTCTCTGATGATCAGTGATGTTGAGCTTTCCTTCATATGTTTGTTGGCCACATAAATGTCTTCTTTTGAGAAGCATCTGTTCATATCCTTTGCCCACTTTTTGACGGGGTTGTTGGTCTTTTTCTTGTAAATTTGTTTAAGTTCCTTGTAAATTCTGGATATTAGATCTTTGTCAGATGGGTCGATTGCAAAATATTTTGGTCCCATTCTGTAGGTTGCCTGTTCACTCTGATAATAGTTTCCTTTGCTGTGCTTCTAGAAACTCTTTAGTTTAATTAGATCCCATTTGTCAATTTTGCCTTTTGTTGCAATAGCTTATACCATTTTGTCATGAAGTCTTTGCCCATGCCTGTGTCCTGAATGGTATGACCTAGGTTTTCTTCTAGGGTTTTTATGGCTTTAGGTCTTACATTAAGTCTTTAATCCATTTTGAGTTAATTTTTGTATAAGGTATAAGGAAGTGGTCCAGTTTCAGTGTTCTGCATATGGCTAGCCAGTTTTCCCAGAACCATTTACTTGAATAGGAGATCTTGCCCCATTGCTTGTTTTTTCAGGCTTGTCAAAGATCAGATGGTTGTAGATGTGTGGCATTATTTCTGAGGTCTCTGTTCTGCTCCATTGGTCTGTCTGTCTGTTTTGGCACTAGTATGATGCTGTTTTGATTACTGTAGCCTTGTAGTATAGTTTGAAGTCAGGTAGCATGATGCCTGCAGCTTTGTTCTTTTTGCTTAGGATTGTCTTGGCTGTACAGGTCTTCTGTGATTCCATATGCAATTTAAAAGTTTTTTTTTTTTTTTTAAATTCCGTGAAGAATGTCAGTAGTAGTTTGACGGGAATAGCATAAAATCTATAAATTACTTTGGGCAGTGTGGCCATTTTCATGATACTGACTCTTCCTATTCCTGAGGATGGAATGTTTTTCCATTTGTTTGTGTCCTCTCTTATTTCCTTGAGCAGTGGTTTGTAGTTCTCCTTGAAGAGGGCTTTCATGTCCCTTGTAAATTGTATTCCTAGATATTTTATCTTCTTTGTAGCAATTGTGAATGGGAGTTCACTCATGATTTGGTTCTCTGCTTGTGTATTATTGGTGTATAGGGATGCTTGTGATTTTTGCACATTGATTTTGTATCCTGAGACTGCTGAAGTTGCTTATGAGTTCAAGAAGTTGGGCTGAGATGATGGGGTTTTCTAAATATAAAATCATGTCTTCTGCAAACAGAGACAACTTGACTTCCTCTCTTCCTATCTGAATACCCTTTATTTTTTTCTCTTGCCTGACTGCCCTGGCCAGAACTTCCAATACTATGTTGAATAAGAGGGGTGAGAGAAGACATCCTTGTCTTGTACCAGTTTTCAAAGGGAGTGCTTCCAGCTCTTGCCCATTCAATATGATATTTGCTGTGGGTTTGTCTTATTATTTTTAGATATGTTCCATCAATACCTAGTTTATTGAGAATTTTTAACATGAAGGGATGTTGAATTTTATCAAAGGTCTTTTCTGCATATATTGAGATAGTCATGTGTTTTTTGTCATTGGTTCTGTTTATGTGATGGATTACATTTTTTGATTTGTATATGTTGAACAAGCCTTGCATCTCAGGGATGAAGCTGACTTGATTGTGGTGGATAAATTTTTTCATGTGCTACTGGACTGAGTTTGCTAGTATTTTACTGAGGATTTTCACATCAGTGTTCATCAGTTTTCTTTTTTTGTTGTGTCTCTTCCTGGTTTTGGTATCAGGATGGTGCTGGCTTCATAAAATGAGTGAGCAGTCCCTCCTTTTGAATTATTTGGAATAGTTTCAGAAGGAATGGTACCAGCTCCTCTTTGTATTTATGGTAGAATTCAGCTGTGAATCCATCTGGTCCTGGACTTTTTTTGCTTCAATTTCAGAACTTGTTATTGGTCTATTCAGGGATTCGACTTCTTTCTGGTTTAATCTTAGTAGGGTGTATATGTCCAGGAATTTATCTCTTTCTTCTAGATTTTCTAGTTTATTTGTGTAGAGGTGTTTATAGTATTCTCTGATGGTAGTTTGTATTTCTGTGGGGTCAGTGGTGATATCCCCTTTATCATGTTTATTGTGTCTATTTGATTCTTCTCTCTCTTCTTTATTAGTCTAGCTAGCAGTCTATTTTTTTTTAATTTTTTCAAAAAACCAGCTCCTGGATTCATTTATTTTTTGGAGGGTTTTTCGTGTCTCTAACTCCTTCAGTTCTTCTCTTATCTTAGTTTTTTCTTGTCTTATGCTAGCTTTTGGATTAGTTTGCTCTTGCTTCTCTAGCTCTTTTAATTGTGATGTTAGGATGCCGATTTGAGATCTTTCTAGCTTTCTGGTGTGGGCATTTAGTGTTATAAATTTACCTCTTCACACTGCTTTAGCTGTGTCCCAGAGATTATGGTACATTGTCTCCTCATTCTCATTGGTTTCAAAGAACTGATGGGCTTCCCTTTTTAAGGTGCCCTGGACTTTCTCTCTGGGTGCCCTTAACAGTTTTTCCTTTGACCTTGGAGAATATGATGATTATGTGTCTTTGTGTTAATCTTCTCATGGAGTATCCAATGGTTTTCTCTGTATTTCCTGAATTTGTAAGTTGGCCTGTCTTGCTAGGTTGGGGAAGTTCTCCTGGATAATATTCTGAAGTGTGTTTCCCAACCTGTTTCCATTCTCCCCATCTCCTTCTGGTACTCCAATCAATCATACGTTCGGTCTTTTTAAGAAATCTCATACTTCTTGGAGGCTTTGTTCAATCTGTTTTATTCTTTTTTTCTCTATTCTTGCCTGCATGTCTTATTTCAGTAAGGTGGTCTTCAAACTCTGATATCCTTTCTTCCGCTT